ATATTCTGCTGCATTCTCCGACAGTCCCCTTCACTATCTGCTACTCCACCAATCATATTGTCATCTGCAAACTTGCTAATCAGACCATCTATACCTTCCTCCAGATCATTTATGTATATCACAAACAACAGTGGTCCCAACACAGATCCCTGTGGAACACTACTGGTCACAGTTCTCCATTTTGAGAAACTCCCTTCCACGACAACTCTCCGTCTCCTGTTGCCCAGCCAGTCCTCTATCCAGGATAATGTTGGAGGCAAGGGATGAAATAACTGAGACCTTAACAGATATCTTTGCATCCTCTTTGGCCTCAGGCAAGGTTCCAGACAACTAGAGAATGGCGTATCTCCATCAGCCTACCATGGGGAACCTTATCAAACGCCTTACTGAAGTCCATGTATATGACATCTACAGCCCTTCCCTCATCTATCAACTTTGTCACTTCCTCAAAGAATTCTATCAAGTTGGTAAGACATGACCTTCCCTGCACCAAACCACACTGCCTATCACTAATAAGCTTATTTTCTTCCAAATGTAAATAGATCCTATCCCTCAGTATCTTCTCCAGCAGCTTCCTCACCACTGATGTCAGGCTCACCGGTCTATAATTACCTGGATTATCCTTGCTACCCTTCTTAAACAAGGGGACAACATTAGCAATTCTCCAGTCCTCTAGGACCTCACCCGTGCTCAAGGATGTTGCAAAGATATCTGTTAAGGCCCCAGCGATTTCCTCTCTTGCTTCCCTCATTAACCTGGGATAGATCCCATCTGGACCTGGGGACTTGTCCACCCTAATGCCTTTTAGAATACCCAACACTTCCTCCCTCCTTATGCTGACTTGACCGAGAGTAATCAAACATCCCTAACCTCAACATCCGTCATGTCCCTCTCCTCAGTGAACACTGACACAAAGTACTCATTAAGAATCTCACTCATTTTCTCTGACTCCTCGCATAACTTCCCTCCTTTGTCCTTGAGTGGCCAACCCTTTCTCTAGTTACCCTCTTGCTCCTTATGTATGAATAAAAGGCTTTGGGATTTTCCTTAACCCTGTTTGCTAAAGATATTTCATGACGCCTTTTAGCCCTCTTAATTCCTCGTTTCAGATTGGTCCTACTTTCCCGATATTCTTCCAAAGCTTTGTCTGTTTTCAGTCGCCTAGACTTTATGTATGCTTCCTTTTTCCTCTTTGCTAGTCTCACAATTTCACCTGTCATCCATCGTTCCCTAATCTTACCCTTTCTATCCCTCATTTTCACAGGGACATGTCTGTCTTGCACTCGAATCAACCTCTCTTTAAAAGCCTCCCACATATCAAATGTGGATTTACCCTCAAACAGCTGCTCCCAATCCACATTCCCTAGCTCCTGCCGAATTTTGCTATCGTTGGCCTTCTCCCAATTTAGCACTCTTTCTTCAGGACCACTCTCTTCGTTATCCATGAGTATTGTAAAACTTATGGAATTGTGATCACTATTCCCAAAGTAATCTCCTACTGAAACTTCAACCACCTGGCTGGGCTCATTCCCAACACCAGGTCCAGTATGGCCCCTTCCCGAGTTGGACTATTTACATACTGCTCCAGAAAATCCTCCTGGATGCTCCTTACAAATTCTGCTCCATGTAAACCCCTAACACTAAGTGAATCCCAGTCAATGTTGGGAAAATTAAAATCTCCCATCACTACCACCCTGTTGCTCCTACATCTTACTATAATCTGTCTACATATTTGTGCCTCTATCTCACGCTCGCTGTTGGGAGGCCTGTAGTACAGCCCCAACATTGTTACCGCACCCTTCCTATTTCTGAGCTCTGCCCCATATGGCCTCACTGCTCGAGTCCTCCATACTGCCCTCCTTCAGCACAGCTGTAATCCTCTTTGACCAGTAATGCAACTCCTCCACCCCTTTTACCTCCCTGTCTATCCCGCCTGAAGCATCTATATCCTGGGATATTTAGTTGCCAATCTTGCCCTTCCCTCAACCAAGTCTCAGTAATAGCAATAATATCATACTCCCAGGTACTAATCCAAGCCCTGAGTTCATCTGCCTTACCTACTACACTTCTCATATTAAAACAAATGCACCTCAGACCACCTGTCCCTTTGCGCTCATCGTCTGCTCTCTACCTACTCTTCCCCTTAGTCACACTGAGTTCATTATCTAGTTCCTTACAGGCTTTAGTTACTACCTCCTTACTGTCCACTAACCTCCTCATTTGGTTCCCATCCCCTGCCACATTAGTTTAAACCCTCCCCAACAGCATTAGCAAAAGCAACCCCTAGGACATTGGTTCCAGTCCTGCCCAGGTGTAGACCATCCGATTTGTAATAGTCCCACCTCCCCCAGAACCGGTCCCAATGTCCCAAAAATCTGAACCCCTCCCTCCTGCACCATCTCTCAAGCCACTGATTTATCCTGTCTATTCTTTCATTTCTACTCTGACTAGCACATGGCACTGGTAGCAATCCTGAGATTAATATCTCTGACGTCCTACTTTTTAACTTGGCTCCTAACTCCCTAAATTCTGCTTGTAGGACCTCATCCCGTTTATTACCTATATCATTGGTGCCTATATGCACCACGACAGCTGGCTGTTCACCCTCCCCCTTCAGAGTGTCCTGCAGTCGATCTGAGACATCCCTGACCCGTGCACGTGGGAGGCAACATACCATTCCGGAGTCTCGTTTTTGACCACAGAGCCGCCTATCTACACCCCTCACAATCGAATCCCCTACGGCTATAGCCCTTCCACTCTTTTTCCCGCCCTTCTGTACAGCAGAGCCAGCCACGGTGCCATGAACATGGCTACTACTGCCTTCCCCTGGTGAGCCATCTCCCCCAACAGTATCCAAAACGGTATACCTGTTTTGGAGGGAGATGACCGCAGGGGACACCTGCACTGCCTTCCTGCTTTCTCTCTGCCTTTTGGTCACCCATTCCCTTTCTCCCTCAGCAATCCTAATCTGCGGTGTGACCAGTTTGCTGAACATGTTATCCACGACTTCCTCAGCATTGCGGATGCTCCGAAGTGAGTGCATCCGCAGCTCCAGAGCCGCCATGCGGTCTAACAAGAGCTGCAGCTGGACACACTTCCTGCACGTGTAAGAGTCAGGGACATCAGCCGCGTCCCTGAGCTCCCACATTGAGCAAGAGGAGCATAACATGGGTCTGGGATCTCCTGCCATACTTACTCTTAAGCTTAGCTTAGTCCTACTATAATATCAAATAATGGATCAATGAAATGAAAAATTCTTTTACCAGTCACTCTACTTACCAGCACACGATAAAAAAAAAGAAAAAGAAAAACCTTAGCTACTGCCCAAATATATCAGTTCATTCACCTTCCCAGAGCGCAATTCGACTGCTCCCACTCAGCTCCGCTGACAAAATGAAGAACTTACCTTCCCGGCAGGCCCCTGGTCCTTGCTCTCACCGCTTCCGCTGCTGCTGCAAAAGGGCAGCAGATACATGGGACCACCACCTTCTCAAGGGCAACTGGGAATGGGCAATAAGTGCTGGCCCTGCCAGCGATGCCCACATCCCATGAATGATTTCTGAAAAAAATATTGGTGTTCATTTCTCTGTCAGTCCTTTTCAGTTGGTTGGGAGTGACTAATGGAGGATTTCTTCTGAAACGGGACTTCGTGGATTAGCTCATAATCATCAGTCAGTGTGATGCTTTGCCTAGATCCAATCACTCTCTCTTCCGCTAGGTGCATTATTTCTGGAGTTAACAAAACAGTGAGTTTTATTAGTTACTAAATGCAAGAAGGAATAATAATGCACACGCATGCACACAGATTAGGAATAAGAATGAATCCAAAAAAAATTTAGAAAAAACAGATCAGTCTCTGAGTCATTCATGAATAGTTGGTTGAACGTTGCGGCCTTTATACTGGAGAGTACCAGATGCATGGACATTGGTGGTTCAGCAGTCAATTTTGAGACTCCTGGCTCTGCAGTTTGATTGAAATTCTTTCGTCCCAGTTCTTTTTGACAGTTGCTGGAAAAGTTTAGCAGGAAGGGTCTGAGGAATGGTCACTGGACCTGAAACATTAACCCTGGCTTTTCTTCACAGATGCTGCCAGACTTGCTGAGATTTTCCAGTAACTTCTGTTTTTGTTCCTGATTTACAGCATCCGCAGTTCTTTCAGTTTTTTTTCTTTTTAACACTGATTGGCTAGCAGCAGTCAGAGCAAAAAAGACAATTTTCTCTTCCCTTACCGGTAGTGCAGAAGTATTTAATGGCTCACATAAAGTCACTATCACACATGGGCAAGCTGTTGTCGTCAATTTTTAACCTCTTGTTGTATATTCCTGGAAGCATAAAGTACAAACATGTTTACATGAGATGGCTGCTTGCTTGAGAGGGGATTGTGGATAGGTAAGTAGTCACCTCTCATTGTCTTTTCCTTGTTAATCTTTCTGATTGAAGTTTTCCTGGTTTTGTACAGGTGTACAATTCCATAGGTTCAGACAGAACTTTGCCAGACAATCACTGAATTTATATGCACAGTCATTTTTGAACTACACCAGTTCTCTCTTAAAAAATACACATTGTAATTAAAAGTTCAATACTTTTGCACTCATTATTACTTGGGGGGGGTTGTATCATGATCGCACAGAACCAGAAATGCATAACCAGAGTCACACACACACACACCCAAAGTCTCAGACACACTCAATCACATGCAGTCAGAGACACACATGTAGTTACAAACACTCCCAGAGACCATCACACTCGCAGGTACATCCGTAATCACTAATACATCCAAAATTGTAGACACGCTTAGTCACACACACATCTTCAGTTCCACACAAACCTCGACAGATAGACACCTATTGTCACAAACTCACCCAGGGTTACAGACATGCCCACAGGTACAAACACACTGTCAAGAACCTTACAGTTAGTCAACAACCAAAAATACACTCTCACTCACACAAAATCCACCCAACAGCTAGTATCAGACTAAAAAGAAAAGCAAACACTAATTTCCTTTCGTGAATATTTTATTAGCTTTTTCAACACTCTCATTTACTGTTATGCAGTGAGTCAATTCTGATAAGTCACTGATTGCATCAAAGTGGTTATACTGTGGTGTTGTGCTGTTGGTTGTCAGTGTGGAATCTGTTTGCCAACTGTACTTGCCTAATCCAGCCTTTATCTTGGGCTTACTGTCTGCTTGTTGAGACCCTGCATTATGATGTCTGAACACCGCATCAATCCCAAAATAAAAGCAGTTGTAAGATGTGTATGTGCATGTGCACAAAATTGTCAAAGACAAATACACTCTTTAAGACATTCAAATCATTTATAATCATTTTTCAAAGTTAAATCTATTCAATGTTAATTTAACTAACTTAGTGCCACTGCATCATTCAGTGTTACTGAGACTAAATCGAAGCGTTCACAAATCACGGCTAAAATTATGGCTTTATGGCTAAAGAGGTTGTCTTCAGTTCCACTGTAGCTAATGTTGCTGCTCAAATAATACCAGTCATTCTCTTTTCAGAAACAGAGTACAGTTATTGTTCTTCACAGAGTGAAGTGGAAGGGGTCATGTTATATTAGTTGTGAGGTTGGTCAGTTGTGTCTCTAGGTTTTAGGTGCAGGCTTGTTGAACAGCAGCTGTCATCATTATCCCAGACGACTGCTCTTTCATTGCACAGACAGACACTGGTGGTGACTTTAACCTGGGGCTCACCATGCCTCAGGTGAGGGGTAAGGTTGAGAATACAGAAACATCATGGTGACCTCAGTCAGTGTGGGAGTTAAGCCCATGCTGTTGGTATAACTCTGCATTGCAAACCAGCCATCCAGCCAACTGAGCTAACCAACTCCCACTAGCTGAATAACTATGTGAGCAAGCAGAGACACAGTTGTTACATCTCTTACAATGGTTTGGAGAAAGAGAAACCTGAGAAAATGGATAACTCCTCCAGTGTCAGTGTGAGGTGGGATGGATCTCTCAGAGTCAGCTTGATAGTTATTGAGGGAATAAAGAGATCTGGAGATAGTGTGGAAAGGCAGAGTTAAGTAGACGAACAACTCTATTCCCGTTGAATGGCAGACCAGGCTTAAAACTGCTGAGTCCACTTTCCATTTTCTCTGTTCTTATGAAGTGCTTGACTTCACAGTATTAGCATAAGGTGCACTGGGTGTTCGTGTGTACTGCACTGGACAGAAAATTCACACCCTGAGTCAATAGAGATATTATTCCATTTTGAAACTTGATTGTTGTGTGAGACTGCCAGTAGTCGCTGGCTATACTCGATTATCAAATATGCAGTAATTTAGATAAATCAGGTAAGAAACATCTTCCATAAGTATTTCTCCATTGTCACTGATCATTGACGCTGATTAAGAGATTTTCACCTGCTGCCTGAAATATTACAGATCCTCACAGCCCCTTATTATAAAAGATACTCTTGCTGGATGTTGCTATCTTGATCTCTGGCTCCAGTTTTGAAGTTTCAATCTACAAAGTAAAAATGAAGAAATCAGCAACAACAACTTACACTTTTCCAGTGATCTGAAAGTAATAACGTACCCCAAGGTGCTCCACAGGAATGTTCTAGTGCTAGTTACTAGCACTAGAGTAACTAAAGTTACTCTCCAAGCCACTCACCATCCTGACTTGGAAATATATTGCCATTCCTTCACTGTTGCTGGGTCAAAATCCTGGAACTCCCTCCCTAATGGATCAACCTACAGCACATGGACTGCAGCGGTTCAAAAAGGCAGCTCACCACCACCATTTCAAGGGCAACTGGGCAAGGGTGGGGGGCACAATATATGCCTGCCCAGCCAGCGACAGTGATGAATGAATGAAAAAAAGACACTTAGATCCAGGGCAATCAGGGACGGGCAACATATACCAGTTTAGTCAGTCAGACCCACAACTCATAAAATATTGAAGGCATAAAAGATGGGTTGAGTTTGGTGGATGTGGTGGTGGTAGGGAGGGATGGTCAGCATGATTTAAGCCATGGAAGGGTCTGAAACAAGTTTTAGGACTTTATAATTGAGATTTCCTTAGTCATCCAGGACTGCACTAAACAGTTGAATAAAAGCAAAGTAGTGTGGATGCTGGAAATCTGAAATACAAACAGAAAGTGTTGGGACAACTCCATCAGGTCTGGTTACATCTGTGGAGAGAGAAGCAGCGTTCACATTTCCAGTCTGGAAATGCTAACTCTGTTTTTCTCTTCACAGATGCAGCCAGACCTGCTGAGCTTCTCAAGCACTTTCTGTTTTTATGTTGAAAAGTCAAATTTAGAGGTGAAAAAAGGTAAGGATTAGGGTTTCAGCAGCTCACAAGCTGAAGCTGGAATTTCAAGCAATGTTACAGAAGCTGGTGTAGAAGGGATGACTTTAGATATATGGATCATTGGGATGTCTTCTGGGGAAGGTGGGACCTGTACAAGAAGGACGGGTTGCACCTGAACTGGACGGGCACCAATATCCTGGGCAGGAGGCTCACTAGAGTTCCTTGGGAGGGTTTAAGCTAATGTGGCAAGGGGGTAGGAACTGGGACAACAGGCCAGTAAGTGCAGGGACTCGGGACAAAACAGTGACTGGGATATGCACAGCACAGAGTAACAGCAGGCAGAGGGAAGTCGAGGGGCTTGGAGGGACTGGAGGTCTGGAGTGCATTTACTTCAATGCAAGAAGTCTAACAGGTAAGACAGATGAACGAAGAACATGGATTATTGCATGGATTTAAAGTTTTTAGCAAAGATTTGTAGCTCGGGTTGTGGGTGAGATTGGTGACTTGCTCGCTGAGCTGACTTGTTTTCGTTCAGACGTTTCATCACCATGCTAGGTGACATCATCAGTGGGGGACTCCGATGAAGCGATGTTATTCTACTCCACTTGGAATTTATAATGTGTGGTCCGTTATGGTGAGTACTGTCATTTCTGGTTTTGTTTTGTATAAGTTTGTACATAGGGTCCAATTCTATATGTTTGTTGATTGCATTACAAGTTGAGAACCACGCCTCTAGGAATTCCCCTGTGTGTCTATGTTTGGTTTGGGCTACTATAGTTACATTGTCCCAGTTAAATTGTTGGCCTTGATTGTCTGAGTGTACCGATGTTAAGGAAAGTTTGATATGTCATTTTGCTGCTAGCTAATGTTCATGTATTCTGATGGCTAGTTTTCTTCCTGCCTGTCTGACGTAATGTTTGTGGCAGTCGTTGCATGATATTTTGTAAACTGCGTTGGTTCTGCATGTTGTGGAATAGGGTCTTTGATCCTTGTGACTGTTTGTTGTAGAGTAGCTGTGGGCTTGTGTGCCACCATGATTCCTAGTGATTCACTTCATTGCTTCATTGGAGGTCCCACTAATGATGTTACCTAACATCTGAACGAAAACAAACCAGCTCGGCGAGCGAGTCAACAAACTCATTCCTGCATGGAATGATGACGTTATTGCCATTACGGAGACATGGTTAAAGGAGGGGCAGGACTGGCAGCTTAACACGTTTTAGATGGGACAGAAAGGGAAACAAAAGGTGTGGGGGAGTTGCACACACCACAGCTGTATTGAGGGAGGATACATCAGAGGGATCTTGCAGTGTGGCATTATGGGTGGAGCCCAGGAACAGGAAGGGTGAGATCACAGTGCTGGGAGTTTTCTATAGACTTCCCAACAGTCCACAGGAGACAGAGGAGCAGATATGTAGTCAGATACTAGAAGATTGTGAAAAAAGCAGGGTAGTTGTGTGGGTGACTTCAACTTTCCTCTTATTGACTGGGATTGACTGGGATTGCCTTAGAGCCAGGGGCTTGGATGGTGAGCAATTTGTTAGATGTATCCAGGAGGGCTTTTTGAGACAGTATGTTGACAATACAACCAGGGAGAAAGCCATACTAGACTTGGTATTAGGGAATGAGCCAGGACAGGTGATCAATGTTTCAGTAGAAGAGCATTCTGGGCTTTGCGACCATAACTCAATAAGATTTCAAGTAGTCATGGACGAAGAAAGGAATGGCCCTTGGGTCAGGGTGCTTAATTGGGCAAGAACCAATTACATCCACATTAGACAGGAACTGGGGAATGTGGAACAAAAACAAAGTTGCTGGAAAAGCTCAGCAGGTCTGGCGGCATCTGTAGAGGATAGAGGAGAAAACAGAGTTAACGTTTTGGGTCCGGTGACCCTTCCTCAGAACTGAGCAAGTTCTGAGGAAGGGTCCCAGACCCGAAACGTTAATTCTGTTTTTTCCTTCACAGATGCTGCCACACCTGCTGAGCTTCTCCAGCAACTTCGTTTTTGTTCCTAGTTTACAGCAGCCACAGTTCTTTCGGTTTTTATTACAGGATTAAATCTATGGCTCAAAAGAGTGGTGTTTAGCAGATGGGGTTTCAATTCATGGGCAGTTTTGCAGGGACATGCATGTCCTGCACTTAAATCAATTGATCTTTAAAAGCCTCCCACATGCCAGACGTAGATTTGCCCTCAAATAACTGTTCCCAACCCATAACAAGATATAGATTTAATGGCGACTCGGGCACATAAATGGCAGACGGAGATTAAGCCTGACAAATGCAAGGTGATGCATTTTGGAGGATCAAATTTAGGTGCGAATTATACTGTAAATGGCAGAACATTTAGGAAAATTAACATATAGACAGATCTGGGCATGCAGATTCACAGTTCCCAAAAAGTGGCAACACAGGTAGCCAAAGTGATTAAGAAGGTATATGGCATGCTTGCCTTCATCATTCGAGCATGGAGTACAAGAATTGGCAAACCATGTTGCAGCGATACAAAACCCCTGTTTGGCCACATTTGGAGTATTGTGTGCAGTTTTGGTCACCACATTACCAGAAGGATGTGGAAGCTTTGGAGAGAGTACAGAGAAGGTTCACCAGGATGTTACCCAGTCTCCAGGGCATTGACTATGAGGGAAAGGTTAAAAAGACTAGGATTGTTTTCACTGGAAAGACGACGGCTGAGAGAAGACCTGATAGAGGACCACAAAATTATGAGAGGCATGGATAGGGTGGATAGTCAGAGGCTATTTCCCAGGATTGAAGTTTCAAATACAAGGGGACACAGGTTCAAGGTGAGAGGCGGGAAAGTTTAAGGGAGATGTGTGAGGAACGTTTTTCATGCAGAGGGTGGTAGGAGCCAGGAAAGCACTGCCAGATGAGGTGGTGGAAGCAGGCACATTGGCAACATTTAAGAGGCATCTAGATGGTTACATGAATAGGGAGGGAACAGGGGGATACGGACCGGATAAGGGCAGAACGCTTGTTTTTTAGTTTAGTCAGGGCATGATGATCGACACAGGCTTGGAGGGCCAAAGGGCCTGTTCCTGTGCTGTACTTCTTTTGTTCTTCTTTTGTTTCTCTTTTCAGCCAAAATTGGTGCCATTAGTGATGATGCAGATTCATGCTGGTGGCCAGCTTACACATGCCCTTTATGGCCTTAACAACATGACCTTTGCTTGAAGTCTGCACAGCAGGCAGCAGCACCCTAGCCAGCTCGGGAACCACATCAATTGAGTGCATTACATCAGAGGTGGCCAACTTTTTTGCATAGGGGGTGACATTTCAATATTACAGAGTCATAGTCATATAGCACGGAAACAGACCCTTTGGTCTGACTCATCCATGCCAACCAAGATCCCCAAAGTAAAATAGTACTATTTGCCTACATTTGGCCCATATCCCTTTAAACTTTTCCTACTCATGTACCTGCCTAAATATCTTTTAAATGTTGAAACTGTACTTATTCTTTGTCCTTGGGGGACACAACAGTAAACATAAACTTCATCAAAAAAGTTCAAAAGCAATAAATTGATGATGTAAATTAGTAATTAATAGAAATAAAAATTAAAAAGTGCCAAGCCATAAAACTTAATGAAAAAGCCAGTTTTAACTTTTTGGTTAAGAAGCAGAGTTACTTGTGAGAGAAAAAGAATAAGTTCAAATTGGTGATCACTAAATAATGGATTGGAACTAGGGCCAAGCTAAGAAGTTAGGCTTAACTAACATTGATTTTGCATTACTTATGGCGCACACACTCCAAGCCAGTCTTGACAGAATTCACAAGAAATCGGGGTTCAGAAGTGAATAACTTTCAGCTTGGGAGTTCCCTCCTCTCACAGCCTGCTTTCCCAATTTTACTCTTTCCTTCTCCTCTTCCAGACTCTTATCCCATTCTGTCTGTCTTTCTCTCTCTCTCTCATTCCTTTATCACCCCTTCCTGGCTGTTATACTTTTCCTCCCTCACTCTTTAACCCCTCTTACTCTGGCTGTCTCACTCTTAGGCTTTAACTTCAAGAAAATAATCCCAGGGGCTTTCACCAATTCACCAATTTTAAAAAGAACTTTTCTAAAAACACACATTTTGTCATGGAAGTGAATGACCATTAAGAAAAAGCAGCTTCAGAAAGTTGTTGAAAATGCATTGGAAGCCCAGCTCTGTGGCAAGGCAGCACAGATTTGCAAGGCAGCAGTCCAATTT